GAGCATCGGGAGCTGGTGCAGGGGAACTGCTCCAGCACCTCTGGTAGGGGCTGGTGTGCAGGTGTCTGTCTGAGAGCTGTGCTCTGTGTGTGAGTGTGTACAACAGTATGTCTGCATGTATTGCAGTCTTTCTGCCCTCTCTGGGGATGCTGTGTGTGTTTGGACTTGCAGGGTGTGCATGCATTGCTCTCCTGGTTCCTGTTGGAAATGTTTGTGTCTTTGTGTCTCACTGATGTGTGTGTGCGTGTGTATGCGCGTGCACGTTTAGTTCTGTCAGTTCTGTTGGTGTTTGTAAGGAAAGGCATAGTAAAAAGATAATGATATCATGTGGGAACAGTCCGTGGTTGTGTAATACAGATGAGACAACTTGTTTTAGAAAAAGCTTGGAAAAAATCTGTTGGAAAGATTGGTGAATAGATCTCACACTTTTGGATGTGTCTGTTCAAGGCTGCTGCAATGGTACATGTAAAACCCATCTCAGAGCATCTGCAATACTCTCCTTGAACACGACGGGCACAGGGCAGAGATGAGGCTGCAGCCTGCAATCTGAATTTGTAGCTGTTCACTGTCTGAACAGATGTTTTTCTTTTTATTAAAAGAGAGTTTTTTAATAATGGAACTGATCTTTAGTCTCTAACCAGCTATTGATTGATTTTCCATTGCCAGACAGGCACGTGGAGACACACAAAAACTTGGTGTGTGCGCTGTTAAAAGGCTTACACATCTACATGTGCACACAGGCAGCCACCCTCCCAGCAGGCACGCAGCACCCTGAGGGATGCAGCAGCACCACAGCTACCTGTGGCTGCATTTACACACAACAAATGATGCAAAGCAACGTCCTTAAAATTAAGATCAGGTCCCCGCTCTGAGATGGGACATTGTGAATTCTGTTTGCAGCTCCATCTTTGTGCTTTGCCTGGGGACTTTTCTGCAGATGTGCCAGAGGAGTGTGGTGTTTTACGTATACCATGTCATATGGCCAGTCGTGCCTAGGCTCAGGGAGAAGGACAACAAAAGGATGCAATTTGTGCCTTGATTGTGCCTTTTGTCGTGTTCAGCTAGGCTCTTATGCTCATTTCCATCTTCTAGGTTCATGTCCAATTTACCTTATTTTCTTCTTTGCAAGTTTAGAAATAGCAGAGAGCAAAGAATTTCTCTTAGCAGCACTGGGAAGGCAACACAGCCTGAGAGCTGGTGCCATGTGCAGGCAGTATTTGCTGAGCCTGTTTAAAGCATAAGGACAAAATCCTCCTTTACTATCAGCAATGCAGATCTTTTATTTGTGCTGTGACAGCCTCTGTGCATGTTCCACACTCATGGTACGTGCAAAATTCCCCTCGCATCCATGCAGAATGATTGCAGAATATGTAATTGAGATCTGCAGTGCAGGTGAACAATTTCCCAGTGCTGACCCAGGAGGAGACTCAAACCTCACCCACCATGTCCTGTGTGTATGGAGAGAAGCAGAGCTGCACCTGTGTGCACGCTCACCCTCGCTGGTCCAGATTTTCCAAATCAGCTCCTAAGATTGCACCACTGTCCTTGAAGGTACTCTCTCGTCTTGCAGATTGTGGTTCTTCCCTTTGTGACAGCAAAGGACTTGCGGAAATGTTTGCTTTTTGAAATCAGCATGCAGTGTGATGTGGTCAATTGGCTGTAGGGTTTCAGAGTCTCTGCAATCCCTCCCTTGGTGCTGTGTGGGTTGAGCAGAAAACTCGTAGCACCACCTTAGCATAGCATCTGTCTGTCTACCTATATTTGTGTATGTTATCTGTTTGTGCATTTTGTGTATGCCCATTAGCTACAGCAGTTGAGGAAGCATAGAGAAAAATGTGTTCATTTTTGGCTTTAAATAGAGCTGCTGTGGGGAAAAATACCGCAGAAGAGAAGCTGGTTAGATAAAACATGGACATGTTCTTAGCAAATATAAGCTGAGTACCACTGTTATTCTTATGATAGCCATAAAGAGGTGTCATACACCTAATGATGGAGCGCTCCTTTTCTCTGTTCGTTTCCTTGAGGGAGGAAGAGGGAGGTGGATATAATCTCCCTCTTCATGGTTTGCCACTCAGTTTGTTTCTAGAAGACTATACTGTTAGATGCGACAAAAATGTCACATATATTGTATGCAACTAAAGTGGTAGCAAAGAAAAAAAGGAATTGTCTGGTTTACTTCTGGGGGAAGACTTATCCCTCTGGTCTGGCAGTCCCAGGATCATTGTCTATGACTGGTGGTGGAACTCCCTGAAGGTCTGCCAGAGTCTTTGTCTATTCTTCTTCTCCCTTTCTTCTCATTTCCTTTCTCACACTAGATTAGCACATTTTAAATTCCCTGATATATAATTCTGAGGACAGAAAAAGGCCTTCTGAGTGACATCTTCAGTTCCATCCATTCATTGGCAATCTGATTATGTAGGTTCTTCCTATAAATTTGTTAATGGCGGCTGGCTTGCACCCACTACCTCTGTTGGAAGGATCTTACAGGATTCATTGAAAGAGAGTTGCACTAGATGACCTTTGAAGGTCCTTTCCAAGTGAAATGATTCTATGATTCCTTTCCCCAGGGGATTAAAAACCTGTCTGAAAACTTAATTTCTGTTCCATTCTAGAGGAAATGTATTGGTTAATAGCAGGGAGGGTCTCTCTTGGTGAGCTTTTAGCATAGAATGGAAGTATAGGCATCTTAGACATTGCCAGACTGAGTAGATTGTATAAAATCCATTGCTAACAGAAATGTGGGACCCACCAGAACTAGAGGAGATACAGTCACATTCAGGGTAGTGTTGTATGCTAGGACCTGTGCACCTCCACATTAAGACCATGTATAGTTGTGGTTGATGGTGTGCTTGGTGGGCTCCATAAGATTCCTCTGTATGATGGGTCCAAACTCCAGTGAAAGCTGTTGTATGGCACTTCAATGTAAGAAGGGCTGAGTGACTGCAGGATCTGTGCCCTTAGTCACAGACATGCCTGGGTGCTACAGAAGATGCAGATGCTCTGTGCTCCTACACTAGTCCAGATTTCAAGATCACAGCTTTCTTGGCAAGGATGAGTACCTCTGAAGCTCAACTCAGCCAATACTAGCCTAGTTATTTTTGTAATGTTAGGAATAGGAATAAGATGCAATTGTTAGGTAATTGTTAGGAATTTTTGTTATGTTTTCTTTGTTTCATGGAAAGGAACGTTATTCATATATGTTAGAGTGGCTTCTGTACATACAGAAATCAATGTCTGATATCAATTTGCATGTACCTAGCACGCAGTTCTGCCCCAAATGTACAGGCTAGATGGTAGTTATCATTACCTGCCTGGGTAATATTTGCAATGAGATCAAAACAGTTTTGAAGTCAGGCAACTGAGCCCCAAAATAAAAGATCCTCTCTTGCCCCATGTGCCAGAGAGATGGCTTCTATTTAAAGCCAGTGCTCACAAAAAAGCACAAATTTTATCCTTGATGCTTGAAGCCCAAGTATTTACACAGGGAATTTAGACTCTTCACTTGTGGTTTTGGCAAAAGCTTCACACAAATGTTTTGCACTGGTGGTCTCTTAGCCATTTAAGATAAATGGCAAAATCAAATGCAGTCCTTGCAGACTAGAGCGCTGAATGCTGTGCCAAGGATGAACTATTCCTGTTTGCTTCACATGTGTAGCTGTCAGATCAACACGTACACTCAGTATCTGAACCAGGATTCTCGAGGTGGACAGCTTCCCTTCCAAGTGTTGCTTTTATAGGGCTGGAGGAAGCATGGGTAAAAGTATTTCTTCTTGCTGCCATGTCATTGCATGTGTATGCAATGTGCACGTGTGCATGACAAAATTGCCACCCCCCAGGAAAGGAGAATATTTGCTAAAAGATACCCTACAATTAACACATGTATTTCCCGATGTAAATGTGAGGGAAACTGTTGTTTATGATATACCACTGTGTGGTAACTGTTGGCAAATGCCAGCTTTTTAATGGTGACCACTTCACCACACATCTTCATTTAGAAACTGCCCTTGATTAGTAGCCTCGCTTTATATAATAATTAAGTTGAAGGCGTAGTTTTAAATACATGGGGTAGGATACAGAGCAGTGCTGTACTTGCAGCTTTCTTCTAACTTCTGCTGCTTCTGCACCAGCGAAAGATGTGGGTCTTCCCTGACTCTGTGCGTGCATGTCTGTTTGTGCCTGTCTGTATTTATGCAGGTGTACACTGATATTTAAGGCTTGTGTCTGAGTTTTCTAAGCCATGGAGCTCCATCTGGACTAGTGCCAGGAGCAGCGAGCATTTCCAGTGGAGCAGGAGAGAAGTCTAAAGACAGCTTTGAAATGGCAGGTGATTCCTATAGGGGTTAAAAATAAATAATACTTCTGGAAGTTACAATACTGTTTTTTAGCTATCGGGAAAAAGGTTGCTCCATTCTTTGCAGGCTCAACAGGGAAGCAGCGTGCATAATGGGAGCGTGCAGAATGCACAACTGGCTGCGGGTCAGGCGGGCAGGCAGCACAGCGGCCCGTGAATGCTTCATTCCAGGAGCTCTGCTCCTGGCGTCCCTCCGAAGCCATTTGAGCTCAGAGTCGCTGCACTTTGTCTGCGCTGCCGTGTCAAGACCGCTTCAGCAGCAGCTCGGCAGAGAGCCTGCCCGGTTTTGTGTCAGCTAAATGCATTAACACAGCCGTAAAACAATAATCCCCCTTTTGATTTGGTCCCTGAGTAGTGCTGGTGGTGACGCTTGCCGCCTCTGGCTCTCCCTGCACTGGGACTGGCTTTGCCCTTGCTTCGCCCCTCTCCGTGCCCAGGCAGGCCCAGTCTGGGCTCACGGGGCCACTTCTTGCACCCTCCCAGTTTGCTGCAGGCTTGCATGCCTAAGCTGGGCCCAGGCAGAGGTCAGAGCGAGAGTGTAGCATGTTAGGCAGCCAGCCCCCGCCTCGCCTGCTCCCCCTGATGATGCCTCCTCTGTCCCTTCAAACTTAGGTCCGACTGACAGTTTTTTCTATTGTTTTTTCTCCAGGGCCGTCCAGGCCTGCAAACCTGCCGGGGGCTCCCATAGCTGCCTCCTCCCACCCTCACACATCCGTCATCACGTCACCTCTCCGCGCACTGGCCTCTCTCCCGCCCTGCCTTAGCCTGCCCTGCTGTGGTGCACGTGCAGTCTCAGTTGGCGGGACTCAGACTGAGATTCAGACTGAGACGTCAGGTACATTTGGATGTCATTGTCAGTTGTCAGGTAATAGAAATATTTCTTTTGTTGTTGCTATCTGAAGGTCAGTAGTGCTGCCAAGTGATGTCATCTTTGCTATGGGAGATCTGACTTCCCTGGGTTGTATGGGGAAGGCACTGGAAGTGTCCCAAACACCCCTGCCCTCCCTCTTGCCCCCTGCACCCCGGCAGAGTATGGGAACGGGAAGGGGTGTGCACTCCCTCCTTTCCCCCATCCCTCCCCTCCTGCTTGCCACCGTCAGATGTCACCAGCGGCTGCTGGGCCATTCGTGCCACATTGTGAACAAATGCCTGAAACTCTTCGCAGAATGTGATAGCCTGGTATCAAGATTTCATCTCTCTGGGCTGTTTATTTTAAGCTTAATTGGATAACATTAAACATCTGAAGTCTTTCCCCTACCTCCTCTTTTTTTTTCTCCCCCCCTAATCATTCGTATTAAAGGCTTTCCTCCGCATCCATGTGCACGCAGGATGTGTGTGCTCCATGCAGTTTTCTCCTTTGCTTTGAGAAAATGCTCCTTGGTAACTTGCCACGCATCCCTCCCCTCTCCCCCATCAGCTTTTTCTTTCCTTTATTCCTTTTGGATGCCTGACTTTTGTCACTGTGAGGAGGGGAAAGTGATGTGGAAATGTGGACATGCTCAGCTCGCCGGAGAGGATGGGGACATATTGTTGCCAGACCCCGTCATTTCAGACTCAGTGATCTCTTTGAAATCAGTGGGTGTTTCTGAGCATGGCTCAGTTGTAGGATTGGGTCTGTGGTGAACTGCAGGCTGGAGAGGTGAAAATGGGGAAGGCTTAAATGAAAATACAGCTGTGGCAAAATCTATAAGCGTTTATGAGGGAGACTAACTGTGATGGGCCAGCCCTTGCAGCCCTGATTCACGCTGATGTGCATGGAGTTTTAATAGAGAGCTCAAAAAATAATGGAAAAATTGTGTCTGAGGACCAAAGGATTTAGAGAGATGGCAGGTCACATGTAAAATCTTTGTCAAATGGCTCCTCCTGTTCCCCCTAAGATGGCCAAAGTTAACTATGCACAATATATTCTTTACAGAAGCAGTTGTGCTGCTGCAGTGTACTGTATTTCACAAGAAGGTCTCTGCACATCTGAATTTGCTGTAATAAACCAAAAGAAAAAGTTTTTCTTCTTGGAAGCCCTCTGTCTTGAGCGACAAAATTTACTCAGGAGGAGACTGAGAGGGGTCCTGTGTAGACCCCGGTAAAGCTCGTGGTGCACAAGGCAGGCTCCTGTGCCTCCTGACTGAGGCCCAGACATTTGTGCTGGCCTGGCAGCGATTGTGGCATGGTGTGACATGACCAGCACATCCCAAGGACCTGATCTGACTTAGTCATGCTGCCATATACAGCGTGTCGGTATTTGTGCATTTGTCGGGCTCTGCTTCATTGACCTCAGCAGACTGACAAACTGACCTGAGACGGGTGTGGAAATGGGCTCTTCTGGATGATGGGCACTGAGTGAGATAGGTGCACTGCTCTCCCAGCTGATAAAACAAACCAGGACTGATCTGCTTTCCTGTTCTACCTTCACAGAAGCAAACTGTATGCAGGCAGGTAGCTGTAAGAGTGAGCTGGCTTCCCACTGCTCCTGCTGCCAATAGCCAGTGGGGAGGGAAGGAAGCAAAATTAAAAAGGAAGGAAGGAATAACTGATTAAAGGAGGTGGGAAGGCAAGGCTTTGGTATGTTACATACTTTCAGTTCTTGCTTTGGAGCTAGTTTTCAGTAGTGTGTTTGCTAGGAGAAGGATGCCAGCTCTGCGGAGAGAGAGACTTGTTATCATGGCTTCCTGTAATTACTGCTGCAGTCTGTGGCACTTAGAGAATAGGTTTTATCAAAGTGCATGCTACATGTTTATGACAGTAGTTGGTCAATCTCTGCTTGAAAGAAGCGTTTTCTTCCCTTGAAAAAGAGATTATATCTTTTTAACTCTTTCTTAGCTCCCTCAGTAAATGAGCCAAGGCATGTTTTAAACTCTGCAGTAGGAGTTGCAAGATCCTTCTAGCACTTGAAATGTTTTGTGAAAATGAAAAAAAGTGAGCTCTTTGTGTTGACTAGTAATCTAGGGATGATCCCTGCATTGTGCCCCCTTTTTTAATATAGCCGTTTACAATAGTCACTTGCTGCAGCTTTAGAGATCTGCTTGTCTCTCTGACTTGATTAGCCTTTTATTCTGTCAGCCCCGTTCTTGCTTCTGAGGAATTGTTTCCTTCTTTTAACAAAAGCCATCAACAGTTCCCGCCTCTCCTCCTCCTTCATCATTTCTTACCTTTCCTGTTTTTCAGCATTCATTTAATTCAGGACCTGGAGTTTTTCAGTGCAGCCCTCAAGCAGGCTGTGAGCCTGAAGGCTGGAAGTTGCAGGTATCCCCAAATCAGGCCCTTGTGTCCCAGTGATTTTGTGCTGGGGAACCCAAGACAAAGGCTGCCAGTGGAGTTTGGGGTCTGCAAGTGTAAAAGTTGCATGTTGCAATCTTGGACCAGGACACAAGATTGCTCAGTGAGCTGAGTAGCATTTAGCTGTGCAGACGGGAGGAAAGTCCTCTGCCTCAGAGCAGTTTGTGATTTGTAGGGAATGGGGCTGCTGGTAGCTACTTCAGTCACAGTAGATGATGCTGAGAAGTCTGCTTGGATGTCCAGCATTTCTCCTGAGGGTGTTGGTTGTAGTCCCTTCTGTCTTTGTACCTCTCTTTGTGTTCAAGGCACCACAGAGTGAGGAATTTGCAGGTAAAGACCCGTGTTTTCTGTGATTTTTAAAATACCTGCCACTGGAATAGTTTCTCTCTCAGTCTCCTTTTTTACTTATTTATTTATTTATTTTGCATCAGCGACTTCTGTCTGCTGAACTGGGTTCTCCTGTTTAAATGTTTTTAGTGCCTATTTAATTAGAAGTTGGAATAGAGTCATGAAATTCACGGGGTTGTGTAGCTTGGATCTAAAATATAAATGGGCAAAGCATTCATTTTTGCTTTACCCCTTGCCAGATCAGGGTGCTTTCCTGAGTCTGCTTTTTATTTCATTTCAATGAATTGCAACTGCTAAGAGTAACTGTAAAATGCACACAGGTTTTTTTTGCACAACAGAGACATGCAAATGATTGTTGAGAGACGTAATTATGTAAAGAAAAGTATATGCCTGTATGTGTGCACACATACACTGCAATGGCTTTTGTGGGGCTATTTTTTCACAATACATCTTCATAAGGCTCTTTCTATGATGCTGATTTATTAATATTGTACATTAAGTCTTAAATTGTCAAAGCTGCCTAAGAGATTTGGATGCCCATTTCCCATTAAAGTTAACGAGAAACGAGCTTTGCAAATCTCAGCACAGAAGTGCATGGCACTTTACATTGTACTCTCCTAAGAAAAAAAGCCTCTGCCCTGAAGATCCTACAGTGCAAAAGCCCCAAGAGAGGAATTCAGATCGGCATAAGATGAAGTGAATCTCAGTGAAACAGATACTTTATCCCTTCTGCCTGCCCTCAGATACATACCCGATCCAAAATCTTTGGATCTGGGCACACATGCAAGGATTTTATACACCTCTGTAAAGATGATTAAATCTGCCCAGTACACAAACATTCAGCCAACCAGTGAAACTGCTTCCTTCCCACATGTAGGCTGATGGAAGGAGATGGAAAGCAATTACGATACTCAGTTGCATACATAAAAACAGCAAGTGGGCATAGGCAGTGGTGATTAATGGACGGGGCTGTGAAGCTAAAGATCTAAAACAGGGGAAGGCATGGGGCCATAGCTCAGAAAAGTGAAACAAGCTCCTTTTAATTAAAGGAGTCAGCTGTGTTAGTCATTAGGACATTCTGAAAATCACACAATCATGTTGTAAAGCTAATATCAATTTATTTGGCTACTGAAATTCAACTGACTGCTATATTTCTATTTTCTTAGCAAAGGTTAAGGCAACAGTACAGATAAAAGAAATACCTGTCAGTAAATAATAGGTTTAAAAGGAATATCTTCACCTCTTTCAAGCATTTTACAGAATTCATTCTGTGTTCATTTTATAACTGGAATCAGCCAATAAGAAAAGCTAGATTAGACCACCTTGCTATATAAAGCTTACTGCAATTAATACAGGCTGTCTAGAAAGCAGTATTATTTCAGAAACTTTTATGTTAATGATAATGTGCAGTTTTGGCACATTTCTTATTAGGACAAGAAGCAAACTTTTGTTCTCTCCAGACTGGGCTTTATTAACACAGGAGGGTCAGTGGAAAACAAAACAGTAATCACAGCAGAGAATGCAAACTCATCTGACAACAACCTCCTAACTCATCTAGTCCCAGGGCAATGACTGATCCATTACTCTTCATTTTTTGCTGAGTAGAATCTTAAAAAAAAAAAAAAAAAAGTGAAATTTAATTTCAGATTGGCTGTGGGTGCTTTTTCAAGAAGAGAAAGAGGAATTTTAGGTGAATGCGTCTGAGGTCAGACAAAGACTGAGGGCAGCTTCCCTTCCCTGACACCCTTTATAAATGTATAGTTTCATTTTACTGCATAAAGAAAGGTTTGCTTAAAGTACTGGCTAACATTCAGGAGAGATGTCCCTATTAGTCATGGTTACGTCTATTTATTTATTTTAGTGAAATATTTAGTGCGTGCTGTAGTAGAATTGACTTTCTGCACAGTACTTACAGAGTGCAGGGCTGTGTGAGAGATGTATATGCTAAGAACTGTTATGCATCAGTCTGTGAGTATGCATCTATCTTTTCATCTATCTATCAATCTCTGTGTTCATCCATCTATCTGAGCATTAAAATCATATGTGACCTGCCTGTGCAGCTCTCTGTCTCACCAGATATTAAACTCAGATCTAAACTCAAAATGGATGGATCTAATCACAAACTTCTTTTTTGACTCGATGGTGTGTTTGTCAAGAGGCAACGAAGGGACCTTAAAGGAACGAAGAGGCAGACAAAATTAGGGTGCTGCATGGGGCAGCAGCGCTGGCAATTTAAGTGTGGCT